CTCATTACTTTAACCAGACCATTTACTGATTTTCAACAGTTTTCGACAGGTGTAGATTAATATTCAAAGATTAAAACATATCCCTATGTTTATTTCAAATAAATTTTAGTTAAAAAAAAAAATATATATATATATGAGAGATGCTTCAGACACGAAGTCTCATCTTTGATCGCATGATTGATGTAATGTGAACTGAGAATTTTCAAGTAACTCATAACTAATTCTTAAAAAGTATTCAGCGTAATATTTCATCATATTTTAAAATAATAAATCATTTCATATTTAGTTTATAAATACTTATGCTCATAGACTCAATAACTAGTGACAATAGAACATCTAAATACAACAAATTTCTTCCATAATTAGGAATAACAAAAACAAAGTCCTGAGTATTAATGACTGATAACCCCTCCATGGAGGCTCTCGAAGTTACATCAGTCTGCTATCTGACACTATTAAAAGCTCAGTGATAAAGGATTGATGCCGGACATCAGTAGTACACTAAAAAATAAACCGCAGGTGAGTGAGTTACCAATTCGCTTGACTAATACAATTATTGTACTCATATAAATGGCACTAGTAATAATTATAATTATTTTCCTTGCCTTAACTAATTATATTCTATGCCTTAACATTGGAACTAAAAAAAAAACATTTTTTTATTTTTCATTAAAATAAATGTACTTTTAATTTTTATAATAGTATTTAATTATTAATTTTTACTTCATATTAAAACAAGAATAAAGCATTTAAAACTAGTAAAATTTTATTTCGAAATGAGAATTCCCAGTAAAATTACCACAATTAAATTATTTTAACAAATTTGCAATTTTTCCCACAAATTCATTTGAAATTAACTAACTCCCGGCGCTATAGGCCAGCATGAACCTTGGCTTTTTTTCTTTCACTCTGTCCTGTGATTTTCTCTTCTAATTGCGAACTTTTAACTGCTTCGCGTCTCTCTCCTCCCATCTGCTTCTCGGCCTTCCTCTTTTCCTCTTCTTACTGAAGTGCGCTTCCAGTATTTTCTTCTTTATCCATTATTTCTCCATTCTGACCACATGTCCTGCCCATCTCAGCCAACTTGCCTTGATATAGTTAATAATGTTCTGGTTGTCTAATATAGCCTCGATTTCATTGTTACTTTTGATTTTCTACTCACCATTAACACTTAAAGCACCGTAAATACTTATTATTATTTTCCTTCCAAAAAATTTTAGTCTACGGCAATCCTCCTGCGATAAACACCAAGTTTCCGCTCCACAGGTGACTACTGGTCTAATAAGCGTTTTATACGGCTTTAATTTTGTGGCTTTTGACGACCATAGAGACTTGAGAAATTTTAGATTTGCATAGAAGGCTCTATTACCAGCCATTATTCTGTTGTTTATTTCTCTGCTGATTACATTTTCATTATTTAGGGCAGAATCTAGATACACAATTGAAATTGAATACTAAGAAAAAAAAAAGAAACTCACGTTTACAATCACTTTCTTTAAATTTACTCAAAAAAAACAAAACAAATTTGTGATTTCATCTGATCATTAATTCTGAATTTGTTACTATTCAATTAATATTTTTATTAATGTATTTTAAAATATATTTCTCACTATTGTCTAATGGATTTATTTATATATAAATGTGTGGGGAAACATCAGTGTCGTACCAACAGTGGTCAAAAACCGATTATGTATCAAATTTCAGGAAGCAAGAATTCAAAAAGTTTAAATTATTTCGTTCTTGAACAATGCATAAAAAGGAAAAATTGGCTCATCAATAGAATTTTCTGATTGGGATTTGTCACACCTCTATCCGATTTCCTTCCTATTACGTATTAATTCGTTTTTCTAAACCTAACGCTCCTCTGAGAGGGATAAGGGATCTAAACTACACTGTTAATATATTCTAATCAGGAATCATTCACAAGGGGATTCTGCATATTTCCATTTTGAAAAACTTTACTATTTTTTGTTGTTGTTTTAGTACGTTTTTGGTCAACCTCGAGCATTAATTTCAGTCTGAAGACCAGAAGGCATATTTCTTACTAGGATTTTGATGCTACCTTAATGGATTGTCTATTATTCCTCTTAGAATCCTGTGAATTCTTGCAATTCATCGAAAGTTTGTGGATGGGTATTCTGTACTGAAGTACTCTCTATTAAGTTGTTCCTATAAATTATCAATAGGATTTAGGTCTAGACAAAAAGCAGGCCAAATCAGGCCGAGAATTTCATGGTTTTGAACAAAATACATCAACAAGTCGAGCTAGATACTTAATGTCAACCAAAATCTATCTTGATCTTGCACTTTGTAATACGAAGACCAAGACTTGCTAACTGTTGCAAGACCAATATCAAGAATTTTGAAAAAAAATCGATTTTTCGTATAAAAAATTAGGCAAAATAGGTACTAATACTTGACAATTTTCGTTACTAAATGTAAATAATTGTTATAACCATATATATAACTTTTAAACAATTGTATTTAACTCTTCTAATTTTTCGTTCGGTTTTAGTAGGTTCCTTCTATCTAAAAAATACTGTAATATCTCTAAAATATTGAGCTAATAGATAACTGGAAGGCTGTTACGAGACCCCGGCGACAGACCAAGACTGAGTACACAACACCAAGACTTGTTTGGTCTCGGAATCGGGCAACACTATCTTCAGCGTTGTCATCCACAAAAACGAATTCTGGGCTAATTGCTTCTGTCACAGGTTGCATTATTGGTGTTAAGATCCTGTCAAAGTTAGGAAGAGCAGTCATATTCTTATTCCATAACACTACGAGCTCTGTTCGAGAGCCCTAGAATATACCACCTCACATTCTAATGTAGCCTCTTCCTAATGGGTAAATAGATAAGACCAGGAAAATATTGTACCGCTTCCCAAACCTAATAAACTCGTGCTAGATTTGAATCGTGGAGTAGTACAAATTTAGACTCATCTATAGAAAAATAATTATCAAACGCACGATGAGTCCATGATATATGAATCTGAGTGAATTGAAGTCCTAGAAGTTTATGTTATGACGTGATTAGCGGAAAGGGCTGAGGTCTTTGCTGGTGCAATTCATGCTCCTTCATCCTTCTTCTAACCGTGTGGAGGCTAATTTCAACATTAGAGACAGAAAACAAATCATCTACTAGCCTTCGGTAAGTGTTGAAGCGATTTCTTCGAGACCGGACAGCCAAATATCAGTATTGCTATACTGTTGTAGATCTTTGACGTCCTCCACCTCGCGTAAATTCAAAAGAACCACTATCCTGGAAACGTCTTTATGCGCGACTTACCAGACATAGTGAGGATCGTAATCTTGGTGCCACATTGCTCTCGATATCACGTTCTTCCAATGCAGCAATAGCTGTTGCAAGACGTTTTGCTGTAAGACGTCGTGCAGACATAATTTGATTAGCAGAAGAACTTTTAAAAATGATTAATAGAAAATATAAAAACGGTTAGTGAAAAAAGAAAGTAGATTTCCGAGAAATAAAGTACATTGAACAAAAGCTGTAAATGATCTAAACTGAGGACGACCTCCTATTTTGATGATGTTTGAGAGGGTTTATTTTAAAGGAATTGACCTGTTGCAAATATAAACAATCAACAGGCTTCAATTTGGAAAAATTGGTTTGTCACAATTGTATAGACAGTTAATGATATTAAATATTAATTAACTCTTCTGAATGAATGGGCGAAGGTAAACATTGATCAATTTGATGGAGATATACCAAGAGTGGAGCATTTTAAAAATTAGATGATAGAGGAGAATGGTCTAAGGGGAGAGGAAAGGGGAAAATTTAACGGAGATCGAAATATATCTTTTAATTTCCGATTGAACCTGAGCTATTCACAATTATGGAAAAAAATGTTCACATATATATTTTATTTATGTATGATTGCATTTAAAATATATATTTATCGTCCAATGCGTCGGAAAAGAAGATGACCTAGTGATCTACTTATGTAAATGTTTTATTAGAGTGCTACTAATAGATAGTTTCTCAACAAGCGTTTTCGAGTGATTGTATCATTTATTGTACACTCATTTATTGGATGCATTTTTAATTTAATATTGTTGTAAATATCATGAATACATAAATAAATAATTAAAACATATGTTTCATTTTTATCTAGTATTATTTACAAACTGACGAACTGTCATTTACATTTTGACTCTTACTTCGTTCACATTTTTTTTTTTTTTTTTGCTTTTTGGTTTTAAGATTTTAGGCATAATCCTATTTTGCAATTCGTTCACTCAAAAGATCAGAAGGTATGATACCCGGAATGTTGGCTTTTGCCAATATTCATCTCACTTGGATTAATGATCTTGTAAAGTATTCTCGCTGAGATAAAGTCAGTAAAACAAATTTGTAAAACATTTAACACATCACTTTTTTTTATATTTATAGTTTTTCTCATAGCTTTTTTTCTTAATTTTTCTGAACTTCTCTCCATTTATCTTCATTTTGCTCATTATTCTCTACCTCGTTTTAATTGTTGTTCGAAACGAAAAAGGTACGGAACGCGAACTAGAACGAATTCCAGTGATGGGTCAGTTCCGTTTCGTTCCGACCCGTTGTCGGCATTGCCCATTCCTATTCCTCAATATTTCATTTATATTATTATAATATTATATTTTAATTATTATTATTTATTATTTATTTATTTAATTATTATTTTATTATTTATTTATTAAATTATTATTTATTTATTTATTATTTAATTAATTATATAAGTGATCGTCGAAAATCGAGTGTTAGATCTGATTAATTTATAAAAGACAAAATCAGAATAAATTAATATTATCATTGCTTATACAAAGCCTAAAAAAACACCTTATTTCATAATTGATTTATTACTATTATTACTATTAGTTAGGGTGCTTTATAACGACTTAGCAAGAAGTGCATAGCAAAAGTTATATTTGATTACCTATCAGCTAAATCAGTAATACTGTGTCTTTCTTTTTTTTTTCTTTTTTTTTTTGTTTCTAGAATGATGAAAGCTTTACTGTTCCTGTTCCTTGCTTTCTCGACTTCTACAGAGGCAGCAAGGATATTAGCTTTCTTTCCAATGCAAGCCAAGTCACATCAGTTCGTATTTAGACCCATCATAGAAGAACTAGGCAAGAGGGGGCATGAGGTCGTATACGTCACCGGATTCGGCTATGAAAAAGTACCTCCGGGGATTACACAGATTTCTACCGAAGATTCTCGTAACTCTCCTCGTGAGTAACATACATTAGACATAGATAATAAGAATTACAAATATAAATATAAGTCTACGTAAACCTATGACCCACAGTATACTTTAATAATATCCCACTTATCCCTGTTGAACAAATCTAATACTTTGGACTTCACTTGGACTAACGTCTAACTTGGAATCCTCATACCAGACTGAAACGACAAGAAACCGCTCGACTTTTCCGACTACTCCAACACTTACTAGACAAACGCTTTTAACTCCACAGCGATAATTTATTTTATTTTTACAGTTAAAAAACGCCACAGCGTTAATTCATTTTCTTTTATACTTAACTAGTTTGATTAATTGTTGATTTGTTTTAGCAAAGTGAAATCAATTAATAATATGTATATTTATGTACAAGATATGTGTATATTAAGTATTATAGGCCCATAGCTTATATTGTTTATATTAAATAAATCAATAGTTTATACTTGGACTAGTTTGTTATGGATTGTACTAAAAAAGTGCTAGGTTCAAGTCATAAGGCGGTAGAATTGACAAGAGACAGTCTGACTCCGTCCGTCACTGAGCTGAGTACTGCCAACTTCTACACTGCAGTGGTTCTCTCGTAGTGCATCACCGCTGCTCTCTTGCAGTTGGTTTTGAGCACGCTCATTAAAGAGTTACAATTGGTTTCTGTATAGAGACAAAGGTTTAAGAACGTCCTGCTTCGTCCACGTAACGTTGTACAATCTAATTATTTGTTATATATAAATATATATATATATATATATATATATATATATATATATATATATATATATATATATATATATATATATATATGTGTATATATATAAATTTCATATTGGGACTCTAGAGAAGTTGTTTTATTTTTATTGTAATTTGGGCCATAGAAATAGTTCTTATTTATGATCAAGCATGAAAATATTTCATTAATATTGTCACAATTGTTTGTTCAGCTGGTCTTTATTTTATGCTAGAAGTTTGTTATTTTTTTATATTTTTTTTACCTATCTAACAAGTGTAAAATTGATTCATGTTTTCAATATTAGGTTTCGTAAATATTCCAAAATAAATGTTTGAAGATACAGTCCACTTTCATTCTTTTTTTTTTCTTTTATTAAATCACATTAAATAGTTAGGCTTCATTCGAAGTTTGACATAAACTAAGAGAGAGCTAACATAGTTTGGTCAAGATGGCCGCAATTACAAAAGACTCATATACATGACTACAATAAGACTTATTTGGACTTACGGAGTTGAGCTTTAGGGCTCAACTAAGCCATCGAATTCCTCTCGTATCCAATCCTTACAATCCAAAATCCTTCGGAGTATCCTCAATGCTCCTTACTTTGTCACTAATAAAATAATCCATAATGACCTTAATGTTCCTTATGTTTCCGATTTGGCCCAAACCAGATACCAATCCTTCCATAATAAACTTCAGAAACATCCGAATCCTCTCTTCTCTGACCTTGCTGCAACTTCTATCCCTGACAACCCTCCGAGGCTTCTGAAAAGAAGATGGCCTCGATCGAGATTTCCTATTGTAAATAGATTTTGTTTTTAGAATGCTACCAGTAGGTAGTTTTTCCACAAGTGATTTTATGTTATTATTTTCTGTTATCAAATCTGCTAAATACATTTTATTTATTAATATAGTTGTAAATATATATATATATATATATATATATATATATATATAAGTCTGAATTAACTCGCGAAGTAATAAAAAGCAGCGTAACGACGACCGCTATATTAGGCAGGTTAGCAGGACCTTGTTTTATCGCTGTGTGTGTTTCGTCTCTGGTCCACGAGAGTAAATATTTATTTAATAATTTCGGCCAGTTTCATTAATTTTTTTAGTTAAATTTTAATTTTATTCGCGTATTTGGGTAAACATATTATTGATGTGCTAATGTCGAAATTAAAATTGTTTTTTAACCTAATCAGTCATTTTGCTTTATGTAAAAATGTATTATTTGGGGCTAGATGTCCTTTTTTGGGAGCATATTGTGAACTAGGAACAACTAACCCCATTGCAATAAAAATAAGTATTAATGAGCATTTCGCTATTAAGGAGTAATAAGCATTTCGTTACATAATTCGTCCCGTGATACTTATAAGACTAATTATAATCTAAACAATGTTATACGTTCCTAATTATAAATACTAATTAGTTACATTTATTAACTGCAATGTGATACAACGTAGAACCTGAAAATACCACTTAGTAATGTGACTTAATTAAATAAGCGATTGCTATTAGATATTAAAACACCAAACCCTCCAAATAAATTAGATGTGATCAAAAATAAAGTGAAGCCATGGAGGAGTTCGAGTTGCGGTAAAACTAGAGATTAAGTTGTCCTTAGGCAAATAAGAATATGTCATACCAGGCTTACGCATCTTCACTTAATAACAAAACAAAACCCGCCCATTTATCGGAAGTGTGGAGAGAGAATGCCAGCGGTCCATATCTTCGAGAATTGTGTATTTTACATTAGAGAATCTTGTGCAAAGTCATATGTTTTCTCTCTGAAGAAGGAATCTTTAAAAATCCCTAAACCTCTAACGCAGCACATTCCAACTCTTTTTTATCCTTTTACTTTTTTTTTTTTACTTTACATATATATATATATATATATATATATATATATATATATATATATATATAAAGTATAATAAAAAAAGTAAAAGGATAAAAAAGAGTTGGAAAAAAAAAAAATATATATATATATATATATATTTATTTGTTTTCAACTTAACGTGCTAATTTTACATCTAACTTTAAATACCTAAACTCTGATAACCGTAAACTTTAACCTTAACGTGCATTTTACATCTTTTTTTAATTTTATTATTTACAACTAGAAGATATCATGATACATAATTTTTATCAACTGCGCTGATGACCAAAAGATTTTACACCTTTTCTATACAACAACCAACCAAAGGAGAATTTTGTTTCATGATAGTCTTAAAATTATCACACTTATTTGACCGAATACCATTAAGATATAGTTGATTAGCCTTTAAATAAATGATTATATATTCAAATCTTTATTTTGTATCATCTATAGTAATAACTTGCCCCAGCTTTTAACAAGTAGCCCAAAGATGGGGAGAAGGGGTAAGTTGTTACTTTATGTTTTTATGTATACTAAATTAAAAATGAAAACATTCGTAAAAGACGCATCAAAAAGTCAAATAAATATGTGTACAATTTATAAGATAGCATATTTTTTGTTTGTAGGAAATGTTTTAAATAATATTTGAGGTTGTTTAAAAATCGAAACTTTTGCCACCGCTCTCCTCTATACCTTACAATACTATACACCTTATGTAAATTTACAATTTATACTATGGTGAAAAAATAGTTGAATGTATAAAATTTGGTTGAGAAGTTAGTTAACAAGTTTTTTTTTTTGTTGAACCCAAAACAAAAAAAACCCAAGCAAAACCATCTGCACAAAAAAAAAAAAAAAAAATTGTTTGTTTTTCATAGACTACAATCCTTATCATTACAATCATTACTTTGTACTTTAGCATATTACATGTCCTTGACAATAATTATCAAATATTACCTTTATGTTTCAGCCAAAGACTTTCAGAAGTTCTCTTTCGTGGATTTCGGCGAGCTCAGCGTTCCATTCTTCACAATAATGATGCACGAGATATTTCTAATGATTGCTCCCCTCTTACTCGGTCATCCAAAGATCCAACAGCTGATACACTCAAACGAGAAATTTGATGCGATTTTAATGGAATCTTATTTCAGCCATCAGTTCATTTCTCCGTTTATTCACAAATTTGGAGCAGTTGGAATAGAAGTCATGCCTCTAGGTAATATTGTAATATTTAAACTTTCATTAGATGTAAAATTTATGAAAATTAATACTATTCTTTCAGGAATTCCATAGAATCAAACTGTAATACCAAACGTTTGTTTTAATCAATGAATGATAGAAGGAAGTTCGTGATTGTTAGCATCATTAGCTTTGAATTGTCATTCATATCTTATATTCTCTTCATGTTTTTTTTAATGTTTTAATTATTTATATTTTTCCCATTAAATTTGCCACTGTATTGCAATCCATCAATCAAATATATTGGAGTTTATTCTTTCTTCTTGTAATCTTGATTTCTTAACTTGCCAGCAGAAGATCTCTAAGCCACTGTCTTTTTAGTCGCCGTTGAGGTTCACCAGGTAACAGGGAAGAAGATAGAGATAGAACGAGTGAATTTGGATGATAGAGAGTAGAATAATGAAATGTTTTGTACTTGTTTTGTGTGTAGGATTTTACTTTTGGTATGTTCATGTCTGTGTTAATGGTGTGATTTGAAATAAAACAAGGAGCATTGACAATTTTACGAAGTATTTTGGATTGGGTGGTTTGAATTTTGTTTATGTGTGTGTTTGCGGAACCCCAAAGTTCTGCTCCGTATATCCAAATAGGTGTTAGTATGGTGGTATTGATTAGTCGCTTGTTTAGTAAGTTGAGTGGAGATCTGTAGAGCAAAAGATGTCAGTTGATTATATTTAATATCATTAAATGTAATGGTAATAACCATAGAAGCGGCAAAATTTAACTAGCGCAAAACTATTTCATTATATTAATAGGGAAATCATAAGATTTCCACTTTATTTTTGGGAAAATATTCATCCTATTTTCTCCTATAGTTAATCATAAAACTCGTTCACAGCTATACATTTATTATTACTTCTACGAATCAGAGAGGTTTATAATTTTAATCAATGCAAGTAAAGCATACAAAATAAATGTTAAAATAATTTATTGCCCTTTTAATATAAATTGAAGGGAGTGTTTGCAGTTGTGAATTTAGTAATTATTATTTCAACAAATTCGTAGCAAAAAAAAGTTCATCACTGTTAAAGTGGAGAGCCCTTAAGAGAAGCTGATAAATAAACACATATATATTCATTGTTTTAAGTGATAATGGTCCAAAACGATTTTATTCTTGCTAAAAGGAAAACAACCAATTTACTCATTGATACCAAAAGTAAGCATGAGTTAGAATTAAAACATCATTTGCTGCAAATGTTACATTTAATACTGGGCGCCGTTGCATCTCAACATCTCAACTTGATATTAAACTACAGTATAGAGGAATATTTAGTTTCAGATTTTTAAAAATTATTTACTTATTATTTAAAATAAAATAGTATTTTGGCTACTGGGGGACAAGGAAAACTGTATCTATAATTATTATTTTTTTTTTTGCATATTTTAAATTTATCACAACATCATAACAAAACCAATATTATTCTAACATTGGACTAATTCAATATTGATGTTTAAGTATTATTAGATTAGCTTAGCGATACACATATTTACAATTTTAATGAATACGTATGTATTTTTAAATTTCATTATGCCTTAATAAAAAAAACAAATAAAATAAAATAAATATAAAAAAATATATACATGTATGTATATATTATAACATTTCCTTAAATAATTTATAGGGGACTGCGCTTGGACGGATGAACTCACAGGTCTGCCAGATAATCCGGCATACCAGTTAGATTACAAGTACGAACACACCAATGACCTCAACTTCTTCGAAAGGCTCTACAACGTCTACGTGACTACTACCGTTACAATCCTCGGATACTTTTACCTCTACAAGCAACAGGCAGTGGCCGACACCTACATGAACTACACCGGCTGGGAGACCAGGCCTCCTCTTCACAAGATGGTATCCAACAGGAGTATCATCCTCACCAATTCCCATTTTGCGGTGGGTTATCCTGTTCCATTGGCACCTCACAGGAAGGAAATAGGAGGAATCAACATTAGACCGCCAAAGCCTTTGCCGAAGGTTAGTCATATTAAGGCTGTTGTGAGTGATGTAACGTTTATAAATTGGTGTGAGGGATATCCAATGGATAATGTAAAAAGAGATAAACGCAATAATTCGTTATTATTTATATATATATTTTTTTAATTTACAAGGATTTGCAAACGTTTATGGATCAAAGCAAGCAAGGTGTTATTTATATGTCTCTTGGATCCAATGTAAGAGTTTCGGATGTCGCCAACGAAGACATACGTGAAGCCTTCATGAGCGTATTTCAAGAACTTCCCTACAACGTACTCATGAAGTGGGAGACGGATTATCCTGGGAAATTACCTCCGAACGTCCGGATCTCCTCTTGGTTTCCTCAGCAGGATATCTTAGGTGAGTACTACAGCAGAAAAAAAAAATAAAAAAATTGTTAAACAAAACAGAGGCTGTAATTGCCGAAAGAGTAACGATATCACCTTAAAAAAACTCGAGACCAGCGTCGCCGCAGTGTGGGTAGAGTTTTCAGTCCCTTTGGACATTGCATGAAAAAACAAAACTAGAAACTTACAAGTTCGATTGAAAAAGCGATAAAGTTACCCGTCATACCCAGTCATTTTTTACGTAATAGCCGCATAAATAATATTCTGGAAATTATATTTGGATCAATTATCTTATATACCAAGGTGATTGGTAGTTGAAGGAAAGTACTTATTTTATCTAGTTAGAGCTAGTTTATCTGTATGTTTGCTTAAATCTAATGGTATGTATTCTGTGAAACAATAGATATGTCTTTGAGAGTAATTCATTTCACTACAAACATTTTAAAATATTTTTAGTCCCAATAATATTAACAAGGTTACATGTTTTTTTTTTGTAGATCGAAGTTTTATTCACATACTTTTCTAATGTTACATCCGCTTCTATTCACTATGTTAAAGACATATGCATTTCAGGCACTCACATAATAATAACAGTTTCTCAAAATTGGAAATGCCTATAATAATAAAATTATAAGTTCTCCTTATGCCATCCATATATATTTAATAAATTTGGGTTTTGAAGAAATCTGATATTAAGTAGTAGTAAAAGCTATTTTAAAAAATTGGTTTTTCGGGCTCTGAAACGTACAGATCCGTCAAAAACCGCATGTCGGAAATTGGATCCGATTGCAATACTTTCCTTACCTAGTATAGGTAGGAAAGTAAAAATTACATAAATTGTTCTCTAAATAATTCGGAAACGGTAGGTACGGTATAAACTTGAAAAAAAAAATGTTCTAAATGATTTATTTCTTTTTCCCTTCAGAACACGGCCAGCGAAAGTTTTTAGAACTTAACCTTGTAAAAATGAATAATTTTGAGCGAAACCGAAAGTATATGTACATTTAGTAAGGTAGGCCAATTACATTTCTTGTATGAAAAAGTTGGTCAGATTCGTTTTTAGTATCCGTTAAATGTTTTTTATACACCTTTTTATATCCTAAAAAAAAAAAAAAATTAGAACTTAATTTTCTTATAGGATACTGTTGCTATTTACCAAATACAATATTTTTTTCAATAGCGGTTTCGTGTTTAGAGTAAATATTTCGTTAAGGAAAAACAAAGTTAATATTGTTTTCCGATCTCAAAAAAAAACTTTTTATTGTAGTTTGTAATTGTAAATTCCATTGTAATTTCCAAATTAAAATTTTTTGCACGAAATATTTACGAAGACCCTTCGAAATTTACTTGATCTTTTTTACTGGGAGGGTTTTTTTTTTGTTTTTGTAATTTATGATGCATTATAATTCTTTTAATACCGCAGTCAATATTTTAATAAAATAAACAATCGATTGATATTTAGCAAACTAAAAATCCCCGCAAAGCAAAATTAAAAATAAATAACATAAATTCTGTATGAAATTATATAAGATATATTTATCTCGGCCCCTAGGGATCACTGAAACGAATACTAAGACTTATGTCCAACATTTTCCGACTAAGTATCACCAAAAAAAAAGATTAAAATCGATGACCCTCTGACTGTAAACTCTCCTTATGAGATGTCGAAACACCTTGTAATATAACATTACCTACATTAACATATTTAACATAAACCAATACACGTTTAGACGTATGACGTTAACACGTGAAGACATGGAGGTTGAACAGCTGACAGCTAAGCTCGTTTCACCTGTTGCTTGCCATCCCTTCTACCGCAGGCCTCCGCCTCAATCAAAGGTCGTTCAACTCGTTTCTAAAGGAATTCAACAATGCCCATCTCACCGGTTTCCTCATATACGGAACTGAGAGCTAGGAGGAGAACTGAAGCATTCGGTAATCCACATACAGATAAGGGGATGACAGCACACTAATGCATTTAATACACAAAACTAACACTTATACATAATTAACACTATACATAAAACTAGGATTTAAATTTCAACAAATATAGCCCTATAACTATTTACATCGTAAGTTGCATGGAATAGGAGTGAAATGTTTCTTTTTATTTTCTTGTATGGGATATAATTGAGATGCAAAATCCAAGTTTTCAGAGCACTTTGTAGGTAACTGATTTAATAAAGTCAACAGAACAAATTTTGGAAGCTTTATACGAATCTGACGGCTTCAAAGATCTCAAAAAGCCCCAGAAATTATGCTATCAGCAGTAAGCTAAAAACGGGTGAAATAGTTGTATACCTAGTATGAAACCTAGTAATAGTAGAAATTTTATACCTAGAAATAGTAGATAACTAATTTGATAAAATCTGACTCAGATGTCTTTCAATTTCCCAGAATTGCCAAAAATTATTATTCATCAATTTACCCATCAACTTCTACATCAACCATTCTAACCACGACTCGAGAAAATCTTACACCCAAACCCCATCAAGAAACAGCAGCCTCGACGTCAGACACCTCAGATGTCCCAATCCAAACCTCATACCTCCCATTATCAGTTTTAACCTCCACGTTAACAAAGCCCTTCCCATCATCTACCGCTACGGATCAAATTATGGTCTCAGCATCCTATCCCATCCTAATGTACAGAAGAAAAACCCATCACAAGTACCTTCAAATGAAGAACCACCTTGTAGACACACCAACTAGAGTGGTCTAGACCTCAGTACAGTTAGCTTACAACATTTATTTTGTTCTTGCCTAGTTAGTGTTCTCAGTAGTTTTAAGTCTGAGTTTTGTAGAGCTTTTTGACTAATTATATCTAGTAATTGTGCTTCTTCTACTGGCGAAGGTCAAATCTTCAATTTACCCAGGTCCCAAGTAGAAAGAAGTGACGACACCAAGTTGAGATTTAATAGAATTATACAGGTACTTCACCATCTTAGTTATCTCAAGGAAAGGGAAGCGTATGCTTATTATTATTAATAATTATTATTAATTTGCTCAACAGTCCCTTAACGGACCTGGGCCTCAGAAACATGCTTTCGTACCTTGCTTCTAGCAATTTTTATAAACGAATTTATAATAATTTGGAAATGTGATAGAAATTTTAAGTGTCGTTTTTGCTAATATAATCTCATCTCTGTTGTTTTTTTATTGAATATTTTATACACCATAGAGTATATAATGTAATGGTAAATTACAAGCATGATACACTCATTTCTTTAGCTGCTTCTTACCAATCGATATAGATAACCATATCATATATATATAAATAAATAGGTGACTAGTATTTTATGAAATTTAAAAAAAAAAACTACATTGTCTTAACACATAAAATGGTTAATGGTTAAATAATAACATGCTTTTTGTGTGTTTTAAATAACTTTGGATTGTTTGTACATTTTTTTATGAGACTGACCAACTTTTTTGATAAACCTAATAGATGGATTGAAATAGGTGGCAAGTAAAAGCCATGGATCAAAGGATTCCAATTTTTTGTCATGTCGCCCAAAACGTAAGTGCTCGAAAAGTTTCTAAATATTGATCAGCTTTTATTAAATTAGATTCCTACAAAGTAGTCTGAAACTATTTGATCCTCGAATTCGTAAAAAATTTCCAGAATTTTATCAGATTTTATCAATTTAGTAACTCACTAATTTGGTATAAATCCATTCAAACCGTTATTGCCCTGCTGCTGATCGCATAATTTTAGGTATATGTTTCCATGTCAGCTTCCAAAATTTGGTCTGACTTCATCAAATCTGTCATTTATTGAGTTGTCTGAAACTTTTCCAGCAGTTTTTTTTTTCTGCTGCTGATCATGTATTTTTTTGGCAGTTCTTGCTATTTTTTTAATTCTACCATAGTCAAACGCTTACAGTGAGCCGTCTGACTTGAGAGTTTTTGGCATTAGGGTTGTCATCTCTACGGTCTTCAATTTTCAAACCTTCTGCAGCTGATCACGTGATCTTCGATAGATCCTGGACTTGGAATCAGGTTTTTTTTTTTGTTTTTTTTTTGGATAGGTTATTGAAGATATAAAAACAATTGCATATGATCAAACACGAAAAATAGCATACAATTTTCTAAAATGTTTCTTTAACAATTTTATTTACTGAACCTGTTGTGGTGTTAAATTGTAGCATATCTAATCTAGTTTAAAACGGTATAGAAAGTTTTTTGTTGAAAACGTGCTCCTTATATGGAGAAAAATAATTCGAAAATACAGCAGTTGTTGGGGTTTTAAAAAGAGGGGAGAGGAGGGAGCCGAGGTCGAAAACATAGATTTTGCATCTCAGTCACATCCCAAACAAGAAAAAATAATAGAAATATTCTACCCCCATTCGATGCTAACTAGACTCCCATTTTCACTGGGCTACGTTGGTTACTTGGCTAAGAATGAACAAACATGAATATTTATATTTAAATATTCAGAATGGGAGTATAGCAAAATAGAAATAGGTAAATCATGAAACATTAAAAAAGCATCGTGTAATCAATATTGAACTATGATTACATGCGATTGTTGGACTTGTTCTTTATCAGTGACTGACATGATCACAATTATTTTCAATACTCGGACATAAAGCTGTAAAACGTATTTTCTGAAAAATTTAAGAGAAAATATATCTTCCATTGGTAGAAATTCTTTTAGTCAAACACATTCAAACAAGTTTGTTTCTTATGGATTTTAAAAATAAATGTTGAAATCTGAAATTGAAACTAATCAATTTATTTACTTCTGAAATACAACACAACTTTACTATTCATTTTTTCTTTTATGTTATAGTTTCAAAGAAGACGTTTTATCAAACAGTAGAGCCATTGTCAAGCCTTATTGAAGTGAAATCTTTAGGCGCGTTTTGCACTTTTTTGTCGTGAGTGATCTGGAATGATCTGTCAGATTTCCAAGTGTTAACGCTCGGATTAAGTCGGCTAGATTCGACTAATTGAAATGTTTTTACATATGGATTGAAATATATCAGAAACTAAAAATTGGACCTTGATACTTTAAGCGAGGAAATTGTTCAACATTTCATCCACTCTGTTATAGGCTATAATTCCACATTGTATCTTAACGGGAGTTCGTGTTAGAGAGACAAAAAGGAGAAAATAGTGTCTAAAACCAAATGAGAAGTTTAATGGAAGATATGGATTATAACCCAAGCGAGGGAAATGTTCAGCATTTTATTCTCTTTATAATGAGCTATTCTTTATAATTAATATTATACATTATTAATCTCGCCTTGTTGATTTCACTTCTATCGTGTGGTCTAAATCACAAACCTTAGTTATTTATTTTTTACTTAAATTACAATCCCCCATGTTAATACTTTTCTTCATTTAATTTTATAAAGAATATATACGTTTTGTGTGATGAAATATATATAGGTTGTGTCTATCATTGCCTTTTTAGGTTAGTATGTAAAATATAAAATAAATTATTGATCAAATAACCTTATACTTGAGAACAGAATAATTTATGACACCAAGAATAGGAATTGGTTAAGCTAATGACTTGATTTATGGCTTTTACAATATGAAAGTCCATGTATACATGATATATAGTTCAAGCTTTACAAAGATGTAAGAGTGTCAAACTAATTAGGATTCGGGAATTTATTAAGTTTAAGTTTAAAAAGTGTTGATCATCAAACATTGTGATAGTGATTTGTGATTTAAGTAATTGACGAACATTTTAAATATTTAATTTGTATAGTACTTTTTTATTAAGACCATCAAGAAACCAATAAAAATATTTTATATATTTAAAAAAAAAATTTTGCTTTTTTTACCATGTTAATTTTGTTAATCTGTGGCATAAGCTTTCTTTTTATGTTTAATATAAAAATATCTCTAACGCATGTGGTACTTTTGCAGCACATAAGAATTGTGTACTATTCATAACCCATGGAGGATACCTGAGCATCTCAGAAGCTGTTCATTTCGGCGTACCTCTTGTGGGAATTCCGATATTTGGGGATCAACCAAAGAATCTACTCATTGTCGAAGAGGCTGGCTATGGAAGATTGCTGAGGTATAGGAACATCACTAAGGATACTGTGGCATGGACCGTCAAGGAAGTTCTGTCAAATAAAAGGTGAATTTTAAAATGAAATATTAAATAAATAGAGATATTGAAACATCCAATGCCGCATGCCCTCAATTTGTATGAAATCTAGAGGAATATTTATGAGAATTATCTTTTTAGTGAACATCTATACGATTAAACAACTTGTAGCACTAATATGTAAACTTTATCACATCTTCCTCTCCACCACACCCCCCCCCCTCCACATCAACCCACTTCAGAAAATTTATTGCTTCCTTTATACAAGAGATGGAAATACAAGTAAAATTATAAACATTGTATAGGGTTGTTGAAAAATAATGTAGGGTTTTATTATTTCTTTATATTGACCCTGTATATAACCAAGTGTTTCGTGTTTTCGTGTTTATATGGGTGTCAACACTTTTCCATCCTATACCAAACAAATATATTTTTACTTTTTGTAGCATTTCATTAGTTCGAAATAATTCAATTTCTAGTGAGATGCCAAGCGTGATTTTCCCGTAATTACCCGATTAAGCGAAACAAGCGTTGTGTGTTTGGATCATATCAAAGGTATATAACGTTGTTTTTTAGCAAACGGCTGGATCGATTTTTAAGTTTCCCGTTCTGATTCATTGCTAGCTGTTTCCATCCAGTGATTCCAATCCTTGCCAAATCTTCCTCTAAGTCAGCAGTCTTTAAACCTTTTGTTCCGCAGGCCACATTGAGACCTCCACTAAGTCCCGCGGGTCGAATTGAGTCTACAACTATGCAGGCCATGGGGTGTGATAAAAAATAAATAAATGACACTTTTAGTTGTGAAACAAGAGATAAAAAACCGTGCAATACATGTTGTAGTTGGCTGAATGTTACATTTTTTTATTAGTTTTAAAAAACAAAGGACTTTCGTGCACTGAATGGAATCCGCGGGCCGTAGTATGGAGACCTCTGCTCTAGGTCATCCTGCCATCGTATCCTATGTCGTCCTCTTTTTCTTTTCCCGGACACCTTATCTTCCATTACTTTCTTTGTCGTCCTACTACCTTCCAAGACAGGGCCAGGTAACTCTTCGTGATTTTATAAAGCGTAAGATATTTCCATGCCTTATTAAAGTTTCCAGTTCTAATGCGATGACATAGCCTGGACGCAAACTTAACCAAAAATACGTCTCAGAATCTTCCTTTCAAACAAATCCTTTTGTCGGTCTGTAACTTTTAGCGTCCAGGTTTCTGCGAAAAACAGCAAGCCTACAGAGCGATTTATGATGAAACCTTCATCTTTGTAACTCTAGAGAGAATTGTCAATTTGAAGAGATTTACTAGAAGCTTTATTTCCTACCGTGAACCATTACATGATCTCTTCACTCACCTTGTTTTCGCAATAAATACTAATCTTTTTTTTAAAGTGAAATAGAATGTAAGAACAAATGTAAAATAAATCCAGCAAAATGTTAGATAAAATATATCACAAGCGTACTAGACCATACTAATGCAACTATGTTTCCCGTGCCTTATTCTGTTGGTGACTTTGCAGGTACAAGGAGGAAGCCATGAGAAGGTCCAAGCTGTTCCGGGACAGAAGACACAGCCCCGCAGAGGAAGCCGCGTACTGGATCGAACACGCCATCAAGTACCCCAACGCACTCACCCCTAAAGCAGCTTGGCTTTCCTTCGTGCAACTCCATCTCATTGACGTTAAACTGTTCTTATTGGCAGCATTAATATCTATACTGTACGGTATCAGCAAGTTGCTGAGTACCGTAGGAAAGCTCTGGAAGTCGAAATCAACAGAAAAACTAGATCCGAAAAAGAAACTGAAGAAAAACTAATAATCAATGCAAGTGGGGATGCTTACATTTAATAATTTAAATTTGTGTCAAGGATTCTCGCAAATTCTCTGAATGATTATTATACACAAAGCAAATGTTCATGAAGTTTTGTGTTACAATTTAAGTTTGGAACTTTCTAAAGGATGTCTTAGACTTAGCATTTAAACAGTATTAATAACTAGTTATTGTAATTATATTAGTTTATAACTGTCAGGAATAGAATTCTTTTTTGTAGAATATTATATATGCAATAAATTGTTTCTAGTGAATATTATTAGTAATAATTTACTTTCAAAATAGAAAATATATTTCTAGATTATTTTTATAAAATCACTTTATTTTACCAAAATATATTACAGTACCTTTGGTTCTTTACTTCGCCAAGATCACTTAAACATTTAATTGTACAACCTTTTACTCACTTCTTGAGATTTTTCAAGAAGTTACTGCATGATTTGTGATTTACCAACGTAAGGAGACCCTTCCAGGTATTAATGGCTGGCTTACATGTTTTTTATTTCAATCCAACTCATTTTTGACATCCAAGTTCTCTTCGGTAGTCAAAAAGTATTTTTATAAATATTATTATGCATGTTGACATAGAACCATCAAAAAATGTTAAATATATCTACATTCGAGAATTTATGGTCTGATTACTTTGTAACAAATCATAATTTTGAAAATTAATTAATTATATGTACATATATTTTGATCTTTTTTCCCAAGAACGAATTTCAGATACTAATACACTCATACACATCATTTAAAAGTAATAATACTAATAAAATCATGGAAGTATTGGAGTTCTATTGAGAAGAATACAATAAACAATATTTTATATTAAAACATTATATTATTTTACAAATAAATAATTTCGTATAACAATTAACGAGTGTTTAATTCAAATATTATGTATAAAGCAACCAGTGTTTAAATTAGACATACCTTTATATGCATATAACCAGGTTTTAACCTGGTGTAATAATAATAATAAATATAATACATTATAAATATTGAAAATAATGTAAGCATACCTTTGATCTTGAAAATTGAGATGTTCGTTTTAAATATCAATTCCGCACCAAACACCTACAAGGTAAAACAAAAAATACAATTAATTTAATATTTTAACAACAAATAATAATTTATGTAATGAAATTAATTCCTTCTTAAAGATTTATAGCTACTCAATTACTGAAAAATATGTATTAATTAAACCTTATACAATCGAAATTATTTTTGTAATAGAAGGCGTTTCTTACGAAACTGCGGCGTTTCCAATCGCCAATATGTAATATCAAAATATTGTCTTAAGGTTCATGAACGACATTCTTATACATTAAAATAAAGTTTAAAGCGAAAAAAGTAAAAACATATAAGTTTTAATACTAGTTGAACTACAGAAAACTTCCTAAAATATGTCTTTAATTTGATAAAGCAGTTCCTCTGTAAATAATAATTGTCAACTTCATTTCAGATAATTTAGACACAAACACGATGAGTTATTTCAAGGTTTGGGTGGGGAGTGATCGGTTACCAGCTAAATACGGTGATTTAAGCAAGACCACATAAAAAAATAAATGAGGTCAGGAGCTTTATTCTTAATTATTTTCAAATCTTTTCATTGAATAATGGTAATACAAGTTACGAAAATCATGACAGTAGTTATTAGAGCTTTAAGTACACATGCATACCATTTAATCAGGCCAATTAATAAAATAAATTAGAATAAAATAATAATACATTACTAATAAAAATTATTTTGACTCAGGAGACCCCTAAACATTTTTTTCTGTTGAAAACTGAGATTCAAAAATTTTCATGATCGCAATACTTTCCTTTAATAATAATAATAATAATAATAATAAATAATAATAAGGCTTAGCGAACCCGAAGGTTTGATGCCGACACCACCAATCGCTTGTTACACACCTCCCTCCACCGTTCGCCGTCCAAACCCAGTCCCTTCAGATCGGCTTTAATGCAATCTTCCCACCTTCGCTTCGGTCTACCCCTCGGACGCTTACCATTCGGCACAGCAAATATTAACCTTTTAGGAATTCTCTCGTTACTAAGCCCAACAACTTTACAAGCCCATTTGATTCGCCGCGATGAAATTACCTCAATTATATTACCCAGATACAGCTCACGCAATTCGGCGTTGTGTAACCGTCTGAACTCTCCTGTTAACTCATCCTTCTTCGGTCCGAATATTCTACGCAATACTTTATTTATACTTTCCTTTACTATATATATATTTCATATATAGCTAAGTGTAAGTAAAAAAAATAATAGATTAAACAAACTTTATGTTAATAACAGAAATGTTTATACACAACATTAAAAACAATTCAATTAATATACAATTAAAATAATCATATTTATACAACCAGTTTAACTGCCCTCAATCGAAAGGCAAAGCAGGGTTTCAAGACACTTTTCTACTATTCCAACCTTTTCTTCTACAGAATGAGTGAACAGCTAATACTTGTAAAGTCTCGGCGCAACTGTCGTTGAAACCTTTAGGATAGATTTTAGAGATGTTGAAGTTTGACAAGGATCATGCTAAGGGATTACTATAATATAATATACGTTTAGTTCGAAATTGATATGAATGGTGTAAAAGAACCAAAATATTTTTTTTTTAAAAGTCATGTGAAAATAAGAGTAATACCGAAACCGTCCATTTTTCAGCAAATGCATACAAAAATGTTTTTTAAGTATTATTTAAAAAATATTGAATTAAGCCAAAACCTTTTATTTATTTATTTTATTGAACTAATGGTGTAAACGAAAAGTTAATTTTTTAGTTTTCTCAAATCAGATACTATGTTTTCTCTTCAAAACAAATCACAAACTACCTATTTTTTTTTTTTTTTATGAAAATGGGCCTTGAAATTTAATTATTTTCCAAAAGGTACCCAATTAAAGTTTCAAAACTTTTAGTTGTTATTTTGATGAATATTAATTTTAGGAAATATGTGCTACAAATAAATAATTTAAATTTTTGCCTTCAATTTTCGGTTTTTATGTTACGAAAGAAAGGGAAAATGCAGATTTTTGTGCCTCCTGAAAAATTGTCAATGATGATTAGAATTCGCTTTTGAAACAAACTCCCTATACGAGGTTCTTGCGGTGGTTTTAGAGTCTAGATAGAGCTAAAAGCTAAGTTTTGGATCTAGTAACGATAATTTCCAATACTTCAATTCAACTTCACCCTTCATCGTAAACATATGAGCTCCTCCTCTACGGTATCCTTTAATAATACTCTAATTATGTCAGTTGAAAAGAGTCGCTACGTAGGACTTCATCTAAACAAATGCCTTACTTAGAATCCTCATACATGACTGAATCGACCACAAACGTTTCCGGATATTTTAATATTTGCTAGATAAACGGTCTAAACTACCAATTAGTTATAAAATACTCGTATACTGATATACTTGACCGTTATAAGGCCAATTTGGACTTAAAGCATTGAGCTTTGTGACTTCACTAAACCTTTAAATTCTTCTAGAATCCAACCTAAAATTCTCCGCTTTCCAACGATATATTATACGTATACATTCTGACTGTTATTTCCGTAGATTCATTTTCAACCTGGAAAAACATTTTTCTTTTTTTCTTAAGTTTTCAATTGTCACATTATTCCAAAATTCATATTCAACCATTGTTTATAGTTACTATCAATAAAAGAGAGGTAATTTTTTTTAAATGAATCATATCAAAGGTACTTCAAAGGAAGAAATATCTGAACATTGGACACTTAAGCCCTGTTAAGGGACAATGCGGATGAGACCTTAATAATATTGAATACCACTTAATTATAGAATGATACACCGAGTTTAATCAAAATCGTTAGAGCAGTTGTTGAGAAAATAGTAAAAATGTGTTTCACATTGACGTAAAGTAGCACTTTCGATGAGCCGATTTTAAGGGAAGAGTTGCTGTCACATCTAAGGCACATAACTATCTTGAATACGTAATATCAGTTTCGCAAGAATTTTCGTTTTTGATATAGACTGTTCACATACACACAGACAATTTTGCGGGACTTGATTATTAGGACTCGGGGTATCTCAAAACGTGTATTTCCGTTGAAAACTCAGATTCAAAAATTTTCACGACCACAATACTTTCCCTTACTTTATATTATAAGGTAAGTCAAAGTAAAAAATAAATAAATTAATGATAAGTGAATTATTTATCCGTAAAATTTGAAGAACAAATAAATCATCTTCAACTTCACATATTAGCACCAAGACCCACTTAAGAACTTGTTCTAAAAAATTATTCTTTATAGATCTACGCCCTTGGCCACTCTGCTCTTTCTCTTACACCCACCGTCCAATGTCGGCTCCCAAATCCTCTTTACGGCTTATTCTCACTCTACCTCTCCTCTTTCTCACTACCGAAGGTCCCACCAGTCCCCCCACGAGACACACAAAATTTCCTTCTCACCTCAATGTTATGCATAATAAATCAATAAATATATTAGTAAAACATTATTAACACTTTTTTTCACATACATTCATACAAAAATGTTGTTGATTTTACTGACGAATATATATAATCGACATTATTTCATTAAAAAAATTGAAAGCATTTTAAAAAAATATTTATAACAATTATGTTAAAAAAATAATACACGGTGGGCCAGACTCCCTTACAGTGTACCCTCCTCTTCCCCCTCCATATCCCTATAAATTAAATATATTTGTGTTCCTTGTAACTATTTATTTAAAAAAAGACAATGTTTCTACAAAAAAAAGTGAACAAAGTGCCCCAAAAGGGCATCCAAACATGGCGGACCGACGACTTTGACTTCAGTTAGTTTTTTGGTCACTAAGAATCAGCATTGGGCTTAGTTTAGTTATAGTGAGTCTTTAAATCTGGATAGTAAAAGACAAATAAATCATAATAAAAAATAATTGGCTTAGGCGATAAAAACACCAGTAAAGTCAATTTTTACTGTTAAAAATCAAGCATCGTTTGTAATTAAA